CCCCGTCGGGACAGTGGCTGCTGGGCATTTGAACCTCCCTGTAGAGGAAGATGTGCCAAGGTAGAGCTGCTCAATATCTCCTCGAACTGGCATCTCCCCTCAGGTCTGTGGCAGGCATATTAAATATCTTATGGCCTACAGGTCATAGGTTTAGGCAGTTGGCTACCCCTGCTTCCCATCAGACAGGCAGCAGTTTTAGTGCCATTTCTAACGGTGGCCCATATCTCCAATTACACTGGACTAACCTGCATCCCTCTTGTTGAACTGGACAATGTTTAGCCTTGGTAACCTTTTCTAGTTTAATTCTGAGATTAACAAATGAGAATCCATTTGCAGCATCAGTCAGCTGGATCAGGACATGCTTGATCTTTTGTTTTAGTTATACTCAACCCACTAAGTTACATTTTCTAGTTACTATTTGCACTGTAACCTGTGATTTCAATCATAAAACAGAACCTCAGAGCTAGTCCTTGTGTAATAGTCCCTGCTTTACTAAGAGATAAATCCATCATCATCAAAGATCAGTTATTTCATGAAACAGAGTTCCCATCCAAAATATGCAAATATGGAAATGCAAAAGATGGTGAGAAATGAGTCTTCATGCACACTCTGGTGGAGCAAGGCCACAATACTGTGTTTCATCTGGAGACAACTGGGAATGAACTGATCCTTTTTAGTGCAAGGAGAACTCCAGAACTGTCTCAAAAACCACTGCAAGGGCACACTTTCATGATGCAGGAGAGATACGTGCAAGGATTTTTTTAAATCTTACATGCAGGCAGGAACTAAAAGGATCAAATCAGTAACTGAAAACATTGATCAGTAGTAACTACCTTCTTCAGGCCTTAATTAGGTTAGATGTGAAGTTGTTCTCATAGATAAATGACTTGAAAACATGCTAATCACCGGTATCCAGGTAGTATAAAATGCCAAACTTAAAAGAAGAAAAACATTTCTCTTCCATTTGAGTTGACCCAAGCCTAAAAGGCAAAACTGCCTGCAGAATCTCTCACATGCAACCATAACAAGAGTCACCATCCCAAGGCACTTTTATGGAAGTTTTCTCCTCATCATTGAGAATGAAAAAAATCAAGATTTCTTCTTTACACATACTGTATACATTTTCTTTAATGTCTAGGTCACCAATACATCTACATATGAAACCACCACACAATATTTGACCTTGATATTAAAATTCTTTAGAGATCAAAAACAAGTGCTGAAAATAGGCAAGATATTTATATAGCCCATAATAGTAGACTCCTATATTACTGGCATCTCCCAGTGGAGACAGGCCTGAACCAAAACCTCAGGTCTGCACTTCATATCAATAAAAGAAAACAAATAAACAAAAAGCTGAAGTTCTATCTCAGATCTCAGAGGGTTACCAGAAATGTTCCTGGTTCTGCTAAAAGACTTTGGTGCTTAAGTGATTGGTACTCTTCATGATACAGAAAAAAAAAGAAAAGAAAACAACCTTTCTTTAGTCTGAAAGTGAGCACTAAAATCAGCTTGCCATGTGAATGAAATGAGAGAACTTCAAGGAACAAAATCTCAGCAACATACTGCTATCTTTGGGTAAACATTTGTTTGCAATATCTTTTAAAAATAATACTGCTTACTTTGGTGATTGACGATTTCACCCCATTTATCACTGACAACTAGAATTATTTTTTCAGCTGTGGATCATGTTAATTGTGGAAGCTAATAGGGAGGAATGTGAGGTAAATGGTCTCAATACCTTTAGTATATGTGATGACTTTACCAGACTTGCAGTACTGTATTTACTGTAACCAAAAGGTCATGCTCTATATTTTAAAGGTAAACAGTGAACTTTTCTGCATCAGTCACATTCCTGCAAATCATGTTCAAAAATATTTTTAGAAAAGTCAATTAGCATATTTATTTAAAAAAAAAAAAAAACCTTAGTTTCAGATACACGAAGGAATGCTTTCAGATTTAACAGACACAAGTGCAAATCAGAGAGGATTACAACTATCTCATTGGCAAACAAAGCCATTTAGTAAAGATGAACTAAGGCTGTTATAATTTACATTATTAAGTGCTCATTTCTTCTCTGTAGCAAGGTAAACATTGAGGCAATTATGAGATTGCATTGTTCTGTTAAATAAACATTGCATTGCATTGCATTGTTTAAAAAAAAAATCCCAAATACTGCAGTTTAATCAATGTTAACTTTAAGTGGTACAATCCCATTCACATCTTGAATCTCTAGGTCTTACATACACACCATACATCAGAATGCTACAATAAAATAATTCTGATGTAGTTTTGCAAATAGACATTTGTGTCACAAGCATTAAAAATACAAAATTTTAATACTGGCAGAAATGAGGTCTTTCAAAGATATACAATAATACTGTAATTTGGGTGTATAATGTTCTCTGAAGAAATACTATTGGACATGGTAGCACACAAAGCCTACTATGAGATGTACATGAAACTTTTGTTTCAAAAAACAGCAAGATGTGTATTAGTTGAAAAGTAAATGAGGTAAGGTGACACAGGACAGAAAATGCTAGTTTAGCATGTGCTAACAGAATGCAGAATGGATTAATTTGTACAGAAGAAATTTTTAGACTGCCAACCTTAACACACAACAGGAATTGTTGCTTTAAAGGGACTGTGTCAAAGTTGACAGGCCCAAAATGTAACCTACCATAAAGTTAAACTTTTCACAAAATGCCCTTTTGATCCTGAAAAATCTATCAACCTTCCAAATCCAAGACTGTCACATTGTTAAAATACCAAATACTTTGCTGGGTGATTGGCCATTAAACTTAGTTTGGGTTTGCAACATTTATAAGCAAGTCATGATTTTGCTCTCTCCTCCACACTATCTTTGAGATTATGCACTTAAACAGTACCAGATCTTTTGTTTGGTATTTCCATGATTTAGCATTTCAGTTAACAGTAATTTATAATGAAGCTATAATATGAGGGTTTTGTACGCCAGTGGTAAATGTCTCCTTAGAAAGAGGACAGTTCTTCATACATGGAAGTTGACAAACCACAAAAGGATTTATTTTTGTCTTGTTTTGCTTAATATGCAAATACTTTCCAGTGCACACAGAATTGCAATAAATTATACTTACATGGCATAGTAATAAAAATGAACAACAGCATTTCACTATTTCAAGGTGACAGGTAAAAAAGTGCTGTGATTGCTGGTTTCATTTTTTTGTCAGTTTTAGTGCACAATCTCATAGTGAGAATTGAGAAAAGTAATTGTGAATGGCTTTCCTTATATTGCACACAAACATAATAGGTACAATTCATGTGTCTTATTAGCATTTGGGCAGGTTCTCAAATATATGTATAGATTTTTCATGTGTGATGCCATGTTTCTGTGATTAGAAATTAACTATACAACAACTTTCCAGTACAAATACGGTCTTTACCAAACCCAGGCTATTTTCAGGCAATGAGACCTCTATCCCCATAACAGAGTAATACGGCTGGGCATGGATTAGGTCATTCCTCCTCTTCACACCCTCAGCCCTTAATTTTCCAAAATCATCCCAATCCAGTACAGGACCTTTTGCTAAACACTTCTGTTGGACTTACCTGACAACCAGATGATTAAAATCTTCTATTCTCTCCACCTTATTGCCACAGATACTGCACAGGCTACTGCTAGCACCAATGTTCACATTTGAATATCTGATTTTTCGAGACAATTTCAGTGATTAAAAAATTAAGGCATATTTAAGACATCATAAATGGAAGTGTTGAACATGCTTGATGCACTAACATACACTCCACAAACAAGGCTGTACTGAATATATTCCATCAAAAACCACACAAATACCACATCTTACAATTTCCTATGAAATCTGGTCAATGAACAAGCAATATATATACAGCATACTTTTTTTCTAAATATATCTGTGATAAAAGCTAAAATACATTATAAGTATCTAGCATTAAGCATATATGTCTCAGAATTAGTTAAATTAGACCTGATCTTCAGTCCAACCCCCACAATGAAGTTAGTTCACTCATGAAGACTGAGGATTGAGAAAGGTAACAATCCTTTTCAGTCTCTTCATCAAGCAGAATTCAGCAGCCCTACTTGATTTCAGGGGTCTTTTTCAACTGCATACTGAAAAAGGTATGGGTTTTGTTTCCACGTAGGATAAGGGACTCTCATCCTTGTGTTAAATTAGGCCCTGGATGACCAACCCTACAGCTGACACAAACAAATGTTTTTATTTGTTTGAACTATTAGGTCAAAGGGCTAATGAGCTAATGAAAATTCTTTCAAGAGCTTTCAAATGAGGCATGATTAGTAGATTTTCAGTTCCTATTTATATGAAACAAAAGCATTAAAAAAAATATTCCAAGTTTACAAAACTTTCATTTCCACCTCAGTCTTCATAACAGGCAGATTTAAAAATAATAAAATGAAAAAAAGCATACCTCGTGAGCTGAATCAGGAACTCCAATCTGGCTCAGCTTTGCTGTACTTCCCTCTTCTGCTACAAATTGCATTGTGAGAGTCTCTTCTACTCAAACAACATTTGATAGGATAACATTGAGTTGTCTCAGAAAGCTTTTATTTTTCCCCTAGTATTTTCCTTTGCTCAACTTCTGTAGTTTCTCTTTGGTATATGTACTTTGCCATGTCACTTTATTTAAAAATAATTTTTAGTTGTATAAACATTTCCCTCAGTTTAACATTATGGAATAATTGTATAAAGATTATTCCAAAATCTGTTCCACCAATAAACCTGCAATGTCTTTCAGATATACTCCCTGAGTAACAACAGCTTGCTGTGGAAATAAATCAGCCAATTTTTGGAATTTCCTATTTCTTATACATATGTGTTTAAATGTGTAACTATGTATAACTTAGCAATGATTATACAGTAATATTTGTTTTCATCTAGGAGTAAATAATATATCTTGAAGAGCCCAAATCAAGGTAATGCATACTCCCAAACTGGTTATTACTCAAGAAATCCAAACTTAGCAACTCAACTCTACACAATGTTTATTTTGTTTTGTTATTTTGTTTCTTGATAGTGGAAATCATGTATAAATCACAAACAGTACAAGTTCCTCATGTCAGCAGTTGTCCACTTGAATGGGTCAACTTCTGTATATAGACACTGTATTTTTAGTATAAAGTCAAGATAATACGACAGTTAACTAATACTTTCAACTACAGTAAAGATACAAACTTTTGTAATATAAATTAATTGCCATTATAAAAAGGCAACTGTATTAACTAATACGGTACAAAAATCTGCAACTTCTATAAATATAATGAAATGCAAGAAGTTAAAGGAAATAATACATCACAGATTTTTGTATAGCGCATTTGAAGAGGCAAGCTAAGATACACGTGGAGCATTATACAGCAAGAAAGAGTATCAAAACTCACTAAGATTTTACTTTTTTTTTTCCATACAAATGCTTGAAGTACAGGTACAGGACACAACATGGAAGCAGTAAGATCACCAGCTTAGACAAAGAAGTCTTATTGACAAGTTGTAAAGCATTAGGCAGCAGACAGAAGCTTGTCAAAACCAGCTGTTGTTGGATACTGATTGATAATGTTTTCATTCCGACGGCTGAGACACCGCAGACAGCCACAGGTCTGAGAAGTAGCCCAATGTGGGCACATACACATACACACACATACACACACAAAGTAATTTAACAGATGGCTAAAGAACATTAAAGCACAATATCTTTTTTAAAAAGACAATGTTCACTCCTTAATGAACTTGCATGGAAAGTAAAGCCTAGTGTCCAAGTTTATTTCACCTAAATGATGAACACATGTGAAAAGATTTAAAACAAAACAAACAAAAAAAACCCCAAACCAATTGAGATTGGTCATCTCAATAACAACTGCATGATGATTACATATTCTACCACAGCCAGAGCATTCAACAACACTTTAGACATGGAGGTGTGATGTGAGTTGCTATGAACAGTTTTAATTCCTCCATAAAAAAGTGAAGGTGTACACATCCATTAAGTTTATCCACAACACATAATCACACAAGGACTACATTCAAAGTAAAGTTAAGTGTTGGTCTTGGCCTTAAGCAGTTATGAGGTATTGTTTCAACCTGTGGTGAGGAATGATCACTGTATTAGTAAGGAAATGCATCTTCAAAATAATTCTGGAAAAAAAAAAAAAAATCACTGCTCCTGTGCAGTTGGCATTTTCCTAAAGAAAAAGCATTAAGCATCAAAAGGTCCCAGCCTAGGTGGCCACTGGCATATGCCAAAGCCATATTCTCATCGACTGCTTAGGCCTTTCGCATGTTAGTCAGGTAGCACCTTCCAACAGTGCATAGTTGGGAAATCATGACCAAAACGTAACTTGGAAATTCTAAAGTTTTTGGACCAAACTCACTGATGGTATACGTAAGTACGGTTTTAAGAACACAATACAGTTGGGCTTACTTTCATTTGCTGTAGCCTTTGGTCCACAACTTTAATATAGGAAAGAAGGGGAAAAACAGTAAACAAAATTTCTCTCTCATCTGCTAACTAATGTTCAATGGAAAGCAGTAAAATCGCTGAATCCCTCTTTTTGCCTCCCAAAACTGCCTGCCTTCTCTGGGAAATAATTCTCTCACTCCTCCCCACCATTTATTTGGCACTGTCCCTAAACAAGACAGAAATCTGGGGACCTTGTGGAAATCTGGCGACTCTGCATCCTCTAAGCTCACATCAGCAAAGAGAGAGTTTGGAACTGTAAATGAGATCCAGTTCCTCCCTAAATCCAGGGAAAGCAGCCTCCTTAACCCACATGAGAGAAAGTGGTGGGCAGCTGAGTTCCATCTAAACTGTGCAGAGAACCAAACTAACACAGGGCTCCCCTCTGTGCTTTGAAATGAACAATTCCAGTTCTTGGGTACTTCCAAGAGTATTAGGAGTGAGGTGACTGACCTGGCAGGAAAGAAACAAAAAACAAAGCAAGAAGAGATGCCCTTCAGGCTTTCAGCGTATTCTATCACAAAATTAAACAAGGAGCTTACCAGTTTTCCCAGCTTCTTTCTGATAATAGGAAGAAAGTTAAAACAGTGATCATCAGGCCATGCATTTGGGCAGAAATAATTCTGAGGGAGCAATGCAAGAATTCTGAGTATATGGAAAACTAAAGAAAAAACCTATTATAAAACATTTTGTTTAACAGAGACTATAATTGCAAGTAAGAGAGAAATGGCTTTTATAAGCCTTTGAAAGCTATTTTCTTATCCCCAATAAGCTAGTGAGAAACTACAATAAACTTCAAACTTAAAAAATAAATGCTCAGAGCAAAAAGAGATGTTGCTTAAAGCTCTGAAAAAAGGAGTTCCATGTTTCGAAACACAAGCAGAATCAGTGAGGAACCACTGACACATCACTACAGCTTGTGTTTGCAGACACTCATGCATGAGAGTAGCTGAATTCACAAGGCACAACATTCAAGGTGTGCACCAGTCCAGTGACTGATCTGCACATACCCTGTTGTGACTGACTTAATGGTGAACAGTGACCTTGCATGTTTCTTTAATGGACACAATTGGATTATAAGGTTTTAAAAAATCAACAAAAGGCAGCCAAAAAACTGCAAACCTACTATGGGAAAAACTTGGAAAGAGAAAATATGCACTGTGTTACTGGAACGAAACGGGATTTTTCCAAATGCATTACAAATGTTGTTTCCAATTAATACTTTTTTGCCTTCTAAGTAACATTTGGCATAAGTTATAATCTCTTCAAAAGAGAAGCTTATAGTACAAACCTGGAAGGCTCTTAATTATGGTATAAATGCCTTGGCAATGTTATGATAACAGTAGTACTCTATGTGTGAGTGATAAAGGAAGCAATCCTTATTTAAAATCAGTCACATTTTCTTCTAACTAGTAATAAGGACTCCACTGCTGAATTAACAGACATTTGCTTTGCTTCTCTTATGGAAAACTACTTTCAGTGAAAATTATTGCTTTAGCCAACTTTTGTATATTTTCTAAAAATATTGTTACTTAGACCACCTGTTTATGTCACCTATTTTTCCCAAATACTGTTATTTGCACACGTCTGTTTGCTAATTTACCTTTCAGGAAACTTCCAGCAAAATGATAGTTCTGCCTTTAACAAGGTTACGCTCTGACTTTAGAAGAGGAATCAACTAAGTTGTCAACTGTGTTTTCACTTAGTAAAACTTCAGGATTAACCTTTGCATTAACATGAAACTGCTTGCCTTTAAGGTATCTTGTTAAGGTTCTCAGGGGCTGTGCTTCCCAAACTGTGGGGTCAGGAAACAAGCTAATACAAATTAGTCTCACAATTAGTTATTTTTTAAAAATCAAGGTAGAAGGTAGAATTCCTCCTTTACAGACTAGTTATTTTTGTGCGTGTAAAATTTCTTATCAAGGATGATTGCAACTCAAAAAAGCAACATGCAGTGTGCAGAAATAGTGGTAAACAAAGATGAACTCCCTATTTCAGTAGTGTAGACAACTTTACTGGAACTAATTGTGTACCTGAATCACAGAATATTTATTTTAACAAAAGGACATTCTGCACTAACTGTGTATGAACAACATATCACAGCACAGTCTTGATATCACTTCATAATTAAGCTATGAGCAGAATGTGCAGGTACAGTGATGCCTGGAGAACCACTCTTCTCTTTTGCGTTTCACATTCTCGAAGGTTCGAAGTCTCTCTCTTCTAGTAAGTTTATTAGAAGGGAGAAGCTGTCTTTTACTGCCTCCATATCATCCAAGGAGCAGGGTTTAAGAATCCAGCGCTTTCCACGTGCAAGTGGCTCAAGTTCAAAATACTTTTTTATCTATTAAGAAAAAAAAACAAGAGACCAATATATTAATATTATAATGACAACCCTCTGTCTCTCATCTAAAAAACCAAACTGAAACATTAAAAAAAAAAAATGTAAAAAAGATCAGGATACTCATTTTTAGACTCTTACCCACAGCTGTTCTTATAATACAGGTTATATGACATGACCTGAAAGTGTTTTCTTTAGGGGTGAGTGACCTGCTTGGAAGCTACCATTCTACCCATACATTTAACAGCATGGGAGGTCTGGGGAAGAATTATATGGACTTAAGGCAAAGAGCAAAGCAAATGAGACAAGTGTTCAAAAATGCAACCAAAACAGCAAAAGAGAAATTTTAGGTAATTCCTGTATTTTAAAGCTGTATGTTTCACCATATTCTTATTGGTAAACACTTAAGGTGCAGAATCTGTCACCAGACTACTCTAACTACACAGATAAATTGCCAAAAACGTACAGATGCTAAACATTCCAGTCTAAGATGAGCTATAGCAGAGGGTTTCTTAACAACTTTACAAGCATTAGAAAAATAAAAATTTCTTCCAAAATCAGTTAGTTTTTCTAAAATTAAATATAGAAGATTAGCACACTAATGTGATTAGGATAGTAATAAGTATTACATGTGAGACATGATGGTTTTCTACAATCATCTTAGTTCAAAATCCAGCATGTTCCAACAAACTTCAGCTGCTTACTTACAATACCTAATAAATACCTATAAAGATGTTAATTTTTAATTAAACTAATTCCATTTTTACTTCTGCAGCAACTGTGCAGGAAGAAGGCATAAGTATATGATGTAATATAGAATCGGAAGTTTTAAGGTGATTATAAGGCTCAACAAAGTAACTGAGGAACATGCAGTTTCTTGGAAAGACCAATCATCACTGACACTAACTGCACCAATGTCAAGACAGAACACAGACCTACAGAAAGACTGAGAAAGAAAAGATTTTAATTTAGTAGTATACTTCAATCACTTTTCAAAAAAGCAAGTGCAGTATCAAAACATATTTTTGATACCTCTTATGAAAGTACTCTGCAGGTTATTTTGGTCAACAGATTACCATTTTTATAAAAATTTTAGTCTTTGATAGTATTTGATCCAATACTATTTGATGCAAAAGTCTCTCATGTTTGCCTTGTCAAAACAGACATTTAGTTTATACATCAAAATTATATCCATCAGCACTTGCTATTGCCAACATACCAACAGAAATATTTAATCCTGACTTAGTTTGCACATTCTTGTTCCTTATAATTATTGGCAAATTTTCTTAATTTTCTTTTATCACAGCCTGTGCCACAAATACGCACAACAACAGGAGTAGTTACTTGTATTGTGGTTGACAGTAGAGGCCCTGGTCAGGCAACTGCAGCCACACTGTGTAAGGCTCCATGTGCAGGGGGAATAAAAAAAGAAAGAAAGAAAAAGTCTTCCAAAGCCCAAACAAGCTGAAACATCTCTATGCAGCTCTAGTAATGTATTCTAATAGAAGCTCAACAGTAGTTTTATCAACTCACATAAATTAGAATTTAACTGTGACAATGTGGCAGGAAGGGTTTCTTATTTTTTAAAAAGGAAATTTGAGCAGTGTTAGTAACAAATATCAGAAAAAAAATGGTGGTTTTTGAGATGGGAACTTCTGCTTCCTCAGCTAAAGTACAGGTGAAACCTTTTAAAATCGATTTCCAACAAAGCAGAATTATATCGGTAACAACCTGCAAACATTTGAAAATGAAGCATGGTACTTGACATTCACTTCCCCTCAAACAAATTTCAGAAAACATACAGGTTGAAATAAACAGGACTTCAACAAACAGTATTTTAATATTAACATACCTACTTTTAGCTTTGCTGTCTCAGTGCCAAATTAGTTTCTGGTATGTTAGCATGGTTATATGTGATGAGAACCTAAATTCTAACCTCTATAAGGTAGGTATATACCTCAATGTCTCCAGCAGCTGAAGTGACACCAAATTGAATTTTCCTCCATTAATATATTGAATTAATGGCACCAATCATAGCACTGGAGAAGCAGGGTAAGAAATCTCTCTTGCCTGTTTCAGCAACAGCCTCCTTGTCTCTTAGACAAGGGGAGGAAGTAGGAGCTGCAGAGCAGCACAACAAAGCAAGGTGTGAGTGCAGCTAGCTGATAGAGCAGCCTGCTGGTGCTAAACTGACAAATATGGCTGAGTAATCTGAGATGTTTCAGCCCCACAAATCAGAGGATGTCCATCACACCCCCTCTACTGGAATACTATTGCCATCAGCCCCTTGAGCTCACTGAAGTCTGTCTGCAATCTTATTTACATAGTCTCTTGAATTAAGGTTATACCATATGAAGAAATGATTAGGAAAAGGTCATTACATTGTAAGGAGAGTACTTGGGTTTAAAAGCATTAAATATTAGAAACACATACATAAAGAAATGATGGCACAAGCACACACTAGCACTGAATTTTGAGTGTTTGTGGACAAATACAACATTGTCTACCAAGGTAGCCTCTAGCCAAGAAAAACACAATGACTTTAAGCTATATTTCCATGACTGCAGAAGCCAATTGCTGTTTCAGCAGCTCAACTGATTTAGTGAAACAAATGTTGCAGATGAATTAGATATCTGGATGCCCAATGTTGATTAAAATTTATTTTTTCCTATTTCTACATGTTTAATCAAAATTAGCAATGTACTGTGATCATTTTCCATATGTAAGAAACAGTTCAAAGTTAACAGGCCTTAGATGAATGCTGAAATTAAAAATGATCATTAAACAGTGGCTTTTGAAATGGGAAGTTTAGATAATGGCATGAAAACAACTGCTTATATTCACATAAGTAACAGCTATTCTGTTCATACCTACAGAGGAGAAAAGATTTGCTAGATGACTTGTCTCTACTCCAAATATAGAAAAATAACACTATTTGCCTTACAAATAATAAACAACTAAGCCAGAAGTAGCACAGAAGTTATTTTCCACAACCCATGGGACACTGTGGTATGTTACTCTATTTCCTCATTTAAACTTCACACCACAATGGAGCTTGCTAAAGCCCAGAGCTTTGCAAGCAGGCTCCACAACTTTGAAACTTCCAGAAAATAGTTTGCAGATACAAATATTTTCCAATTTACTATAACTTCTCAGAAGATGTCATTCAGTTCTAAAAACAAGTAAGTTTTTTTAGACTTAAAAAGGAACCCTTTTTTACATGCAAGAGATGAAATAACTACACGAATATAGACCGACACAATCAGATGCCCAACACTGTTTATACAGTGTTTATACAGAGTTTTCCACTGGAATGCTCTCAGCTCTCCATCCGCCTTCATTTCTCTAGTTGTTTTCTGCTCCAATGACTATTCTTGACACTTGTTCCCTCCCAGACTTCCCAAGATGCACATTAATCAGTAAAATATCCAAAGGAAGCGGAAATTCTCTGAATACTCACTCACCTAGGTAGTTCTTGCATAATCAGATAATCAACAGTTTTATAGCTCCCTTCAATCGTACTAGCACAAAAGGGGTGAGTTCCTAAGAGAAGCTCTTTTGTCTTCTCCTATTGCATAAATGGTGAAAACAGTTCTGTCTGTTCATGGATGCCATAGCAAAATATAACCACTCAAACATGCTTCAGATGTCTGACACATTAGACGTGCATTTACATACTGGCTTTGCATTTGTGTTTACTTTGGGACTGCTAAATTTTTAAGATATAACCTTAGAGGAAAATCCACACAATTTTAAGATTTCTTTACTAGTATTTTACAGGATCTCACTGTATGTCTTGACTCCACATGGGGGTCTTGTTTTATGGAGAAGCTGACATAGTATTTATGCCACATTCTGCAGTCAATGAAATCTAACAATACACGTTTGCAATTATTCCCACTCTTCCCACACTCCACCTTCTAAGTCTTATTCTACTGGTACAATACACTAACCATATGGTTATCAAATGTTGCTTAACCTACGTGCTAGAAAAGTCAAGACACAATAAAAGGATTGGTGCCCAGAACCTCAGCTGGTGTAAATTATCATAGCAATGTTAAACTGATGTTACTAAATTGCTATACGGAAGCTGAGTAACCAGGCCTTGCTGAAAGCTTTTGTATGTTCTATTAATGAACCTCATCTAGCCAGTTCACAACACACATTAATATAAGATATATAGGAAAACTTAGATACTGTAATTTATGACTACATAGTCATTTCTGTCTATTATTCAACATGAAGAAAAGCTGATTGAAAGCATGTTAATTCAAATTCAAAATTTTAGTATGAAATTTCACCAGCACAAGAAGGCTTCCAACACACTCTGACGATTTTGTTGTAAACAAATACAAAATTCAGGTAGTCACTTATATTACCAGGGTGTATTTTGAGAATTTAATGGATAAAGTATTTTTTCATCCATTGATGTTTTACTGAACAATTTTACTGGGAAAAAAATAAAGTACCAATGTATGTATGTTATATCTAATCAAAGGCTGTACAGTCATTTCAGTGTCCCTGCTAGTTTAAATTTTTGAAAGACTTTTACAGGATTAAGGCAGTACTACTGCAAGAGGGTGACTTGTGGAAATATGAATTAGAACAAAATTACCTAATTTGCTGAATCCACGTATTAACCACAAGAAATGGTTCATTCATCTATACCAAATCTCCATGGACAATAAATGCAGTAATAATGGGAGATTAGGGTTCCCCATATTCACATTGTGAAAGTTTCACTGAGCTGTGATGCTGAGATTACCTTTTCAGACTTCATAAAAATCTGCCTTTTAGAGCTAACTGTTTACAAGGTGCAGGAGACAGAGGCAATTTTGATTGCCAAGTCCATGAACAACAGACAAGCTGCCTATAACAGTGACCAAAGCATGCACAAATTCAGTATCTTTGGAGAAGAGAAAAAGCCAAAAGTCCATCACATAGCATTAAGTTTTAAAAAGGGAAACTACATAAAATGAGTAACTTAAAGAAAATTAACTGTG